GTGGCAGTATTCGGCCCACATCCAAATCATGGAACGTTTTTCTTTTTATAGAGTTTATCGTACCATGATTTTATTGGCACATAGTCTGTCCTCAGACGTGATGTATATAATTTATGGTTCAGTCTGTGATTGGACTGAGGTGGAGGCGAGTTTGTTTTCCATAGAACAATGAAGTGTTCCCCGTACACGGGGAAATAGACAATTCAATTTCGCTTCAATGTTTACAACAGGGTTTCAATATTTTCTGTCGAATCCTATTGTTTGTGCTGACACGTGAAGAGTACCGAGAAGAGGATGGTTATCACCAGTAGAATACTCCGGTAGAGGTTCAAATGCGCCTCAACAGCTGACAAATCCGAAATGATTGAGATGAGATAGAACTGGACGTGGGATCCTCAAACTCCGGCTAACTGTTTCGAGCAAGAGAGAAAAAATTCTTTTGCGTTGATGCATCGAACGGGGTTTATTTGTGACATACTCAATGCGGTACTACTCAATGCTAGAAAGAAAATTGCCCCAAATAGGAACGTAGATCACTCAGTTGAGTGTAAACAAATTGACTCTCATTTATTTCCCACCCCGTGCAATAGCTATCGATCGATTGTTTGGTTAATAGTTCGAACTGATTGAATTGCAGCTTCATAGTCTAATTAATTTCATTTGTACGAGGGTATTCATTTAGTTTTCATTCATCAGACATAGTTTTTTATGTTCTAAATGAAAGGCACACAAAAGATCACTTACCACAAATCGAAATGGCTATTTTTTAGAGGATAATAAAAATGTTTAACAATTATCCATTGTACCATTAGTACTAAATCTAATATTGTGATCAAGGAAATGATCCATACATGCCTGATCCCCATGGAGACGCGTATACACATTTTCTGTTATTTCAAAATGAGGATAATTATTTGTGAAATTCCCGCATCACGTAGCATGCAAAGGTCAACTGACATTTTAATTGTGCGTTGAGGGAAGGTAATCACTTGCATAGTTGTAAATAACACAATACAAGGCGTTTGTCGTCGATACGAGCAGACCGTGAAAGGCATACACGAATGATAATTCATCTTTGATATTATAAACAGAGTTTCATCATTTTGACGATAACGTGAGTCAATAGACACACAGTCAGCAGTATTACCGGAATAAAGATCCCCTAAATAATTGTAATTATAATACCAATAACAATAATAGTCCTTGTGTTTATTATTATGGTCACCTCGCTCATTACTATCAGTTTTTCGCATAAGAAAATTATCCTGTAATATGATTTATTGGGTTAATCTCCAGACATCATGTTCCATGGAATTCCGTTTTATTGGCATTAGTCCCCACGGAAAATCTACACTATTTCCTTTTAATCTGGTGTATTCCAAGTAGATTGAAGTACAGGGTCTTCGATACACTGTGAGATTGATTGCTCACTGTTGCACCGTTGTTCCTACGCGATTTGGAGAATGATGAAAGAGAAGCGAATTAGAAAACGTGGAAACATTTGAAAGACATTCATTAATAAGTCTTTAGTTGTAAATGACCGTGAATTAATCCACACACACACACACACACACACACACACACACACACACACATACAAACACACACATGAACTGCTGATAATCTTTCTATTCCCACCCCCAAATTTTTTTCTCATGTTTTAATTGTTCTCACAAGTTTCACAAGGTTGTTTTTCATCGTGGTGTTTACTCCTCCGAGGGNTGTGTGTCTGTGAGGACTTATCTGCTTTTGCTGCTAGTCCGTTTAACCATTTGTTTGTTTAAATGACTCATTCACTTCGAACGAGGTTTGAATTCGCCCAGTCAGTAACGAGCCAATCACGTTTGACGCTACAGGCACACACACACACACACACACACACCTTCCACATACGGTTCAGGTCGTTAAAAACGACTGCACAGCTTTCAGCTCACCGCGATTTGCTGTGAGCTGGAATTCCTGACCAACCTTTGCCATCTGATGAGTGCCTCCTAAACATCACCGATCGATTCAATGCCGTTTCAATCTAATAATCTGAAGTTTAGTAATTCTGAGGCAGAAAAACACTGTTGACATTTGAGAACGTTTTCGGCATTCATTTTACAACTTATTGAACGTAAACCAATTCCGTTTGGGTGTGTGCAAACGCGCGTGTCCCCTTTTCCAGCTTTCCAACCCGGGCAACATCTCGAACTAGCTTTGACGGTACTAACGTGTTAAAAAAATGTCCTGGTTTTCGCTCCGTTGATGGTGGTGCACAAATGGGATTGTCAACCGCTTCCACGCCATACACCCACACCCGCTGAATCTTGTAATCTCATCAGCTTGGCTCGTTATCATGCGGCTTCTTTTTCACTTTTTTGTGACTCACTTCATTGCGTTTGCCTCCACCTCACTCCCATCTCGTCCGATGATTTTACACATCATCCAGATGATCGAACGATCTATACACTCACAGGCTATCTGTGTTGCATTTTACCGGCACAGCTGTGCGAAATCTAACAATTCTCCGATGGGAATCAACCGTTTCCATGACCGTAAATGCGATAACGTCCTCAGCCGGGTACGGGGATGGGGCGGGGTGGGAGAGAGGCAGACAAGAGCAGGAGTTGGATTTCCGCTCGAGCCTCGATTACCACCGTTTCGTTCGGTATTCTCAGGAGGAAACGAATTCGGCCAGGAAAACGGATTTCAATTACGTGTCTTTTTGGTGAGCATTACCTCTATCCCACCACCAACACCAACACTGCCGTACCGCCCTCACTGATACACCCTCTCCAGGACAGCGCCAAAATGACCCGTTTGCGGCTGCTTGGCAGATCATTCTGGGCGATTGTGCAATTATGCTCTTGTGCAATTTAGTTTGCCGATCTCGTGGATGCAAAACTGGAGAGATGGTACACAACTCAACATAAATGAAGTGGGAAAATATGAACTACCTCGATTGCACCAGTTCGCCGCCGAACTGGGTATTTTGTTTCCAAACGCCACTCTTCAGTAGTCGAGGTGATAAATTTAATGCTTGTAATATGAAGATATTCTGACTCTGTTCTTTATATATCTATGTATATCGGTCCATGTGCGCTGACGAAGAAGAAATTTCGTTTCGCTTGATCTCTCTGGTCCGTTGTCTGGTTGGGACGTGACCTGGCTTATGTTGTGTCATCTGAACTCCGTGTTGCATCGTCAAATGAATCTTACTGTTCGGTAAGATATCTGGAAAATGCCGAGAACTGATAATCGATTGTATTGATCCGTTGATGGCGCTCGATTAACTACCCAATATGATTCCATGTATTCACAGCTGTTTTATTGTGAAATACGTAACCCAATAAATCACAATGTGCCGTGATTGGAATATCCTTAGTTTACCGCGCGTAGTATCTATCATTCAGGGAAACAGAACAGTCTCAGCAGAGTCCTGCTGATTACTTGGTTGAATTCTTTGACTAACTACCGACATGAAACGACTTAAGTAAGAGGGGCTTGCCTGAACGAAACGTTTGTTCATTTGTGATCAGCTCAACAAAAGATTCTAAACATCGGCTTTCTTCAGGTGACTAAGCCTCAATTCATCGACGACTGGGTGGAAAATTCCCAGTTCCTCCAAACCAACACTAATTATCTATGACGAAGCCGGATTTATATTGTCAGTGCAACCCTACACAAATTATGCTCACAGTGAACTGGACACGGTCAACTTTCAGACCCGAAACTCTCCAAAATTCTAAATGTAGCTCCATAAATCAAACATTTTTGTGTTTTCGTGACAGAATCATATTATTCGAAACGTGACCTAGCATTGCGATAGATCCCGTCTAGGGAATGAAGTATGGTGGCCGAGGCAGGCTGTGCAGTTCACGGTAGAACACGATGGGTGTATTCATTTGAAGTGATATACTGTTACAACCTTTAAATTTTCCCCTGCTATTGATTCATCCGTCTGTGGTTCAGATTTCTAATCTTGAAAAACAGTCGATGAGGATTTAAATTAATTATACGAGGCATTTTACCATGCATAGAACAGATAAATTGATGAATGAGTGCGGGTAGGGGGTGGGAGCACTGAATGGCTGCGTTTACCCTGCTAGATCCGATCAGCCGAGCGAATCCATCTGCCCAAATGGGGATCGAGTTGTAACTGGATAATTCGGACCACATTTCGCTCACTCTGTCAACAGTTTGTTGATATTATTCGTTGCGCATATTTTTGATTTTTTGTTCTGGTTCCTCTATCTTTATTATTCCTTTGTTTTAATGAAACTGAGACAGAAGAGCGTAAATCACCCAGAGTGAAATCAATCAATTCCTAAGCACGACAAAATGCGGTCAGAAAGAACGACATACCCGAGTTTTTAGATCGGCATTTGCTCCTCTCTTCAACAGGGTTTCCACCACATCCGCGTGTCCCGATCGGGCAGCACAGTGCAGTGGTGTGAGTCCATCTCGTGTGCGAGCGTCGATCTCGGCTCCGGCGTTCAATAGCTCGTCTACCACATCCAGTCTGCCCCATTTGGTAGCTACGTGTAAAGGTGTGATGGAGTTCTGTCGTGTGTGAGTGTGGTTACGTTGAGCGGAAAAGGGAAGGGAGATAATGAAAAGAGGAAAATGTAATGTTTAATCAGTTGCATGCTCAGTAAATTATATGTGAATGAGTAAATTCGACTCGAGCTATTGGACTCGAGTAATATACAGAGAGTAAACAGGAGTTTTTTCGCTTGAATAATTGAGGATCAGTTTTAAATTAATCAATACTTTGACACGTATGTTTCACCATGTCTTAGATCACAGTTGGAGCACGTTGCTCATACTCACACTGTTATCACTGTTACAATATATGCCCGTAAAATGATTGTTTTTTTTTGGCCTGGAAGTTTTGCAGAACACAAGATTCTGTTTGTATCGCTTTTGAAGAGTGAACTCGGTCTTAGCTGAGAATGTTGTCGATCGATTCGATGCAGGCCAAACTCCCTCGGGGTCTGAGAACTATCAAGAGCGTGGTGCAGTTGCCCCAGCGCTTACATGTAAAAAAGGACAAGAACGGTCTTGCTCATCGGAAATTATCCGAATTTTGGGTTGAGGAAAACTGGATGTACTGTATCGACCGATTGTTAATAAACCCCAGAAAAACGCAGCAATTAGAGTTTGTCCAATATTTGGGTCCAATTCCCGGATAAGTATTTCCTAGACTCCGCTACCCACCGAATTAGAGCTTATCTGTTTTCGTCCTAATTCGAGGTCCCAGCTCGGGGTCAAATTGAAACTGTTAGAGATCGATCATCCTGTTTCTGTGGCTCTAATTGCGCACCATGAATTTATAATGTTATAATTGTCTTTGGTGTATCAGCTAGAACTATTTACTTCAATCATTGTTACGTATTTCGGTCAACTTGAATAATGAACGGCACCTTCAGTTATAGGAAGGTCAGTATTCTACAGAGGGGCTCAAATTCCAGTTTTCTTATTGCGGTGTCTCTATCAAAGGAGATTAAAAACGTGGCTTGGAGATTTTTGAATGAGGTGCCTTCTTTGCAACATATCAAGTGCGAGATGGACAATCAAAAAGGGGATGAACACCACAGTGACAAGGACGTGTCTCGTACACTCCACAACAACATCAACACTCGGATGATGTAGTATCAAGAAAAACCCCAGTTAAAAACCACCTCGGTCATTATGCTTCGCTTGTTAAGTTTATTTAAGACTTGCATTCCCGGCTGATCCTTGCTTGTCCCCAGGATCAGAAAAGGTAAGCACCGCAAGCTACATGGCCAACTTTGCCGATGTTGTTCTCGTCTGCAATTGTCTGTTGGGGGAAATTTGGATCGAATGTCTATCGGGATTCGACGGTCGAGATAAGTCATGATTTGACATTTAGTGCACTATTTGCTATCCAACTTTGCTGTTTACTTCACTGGTCTAGAAAGGGTATGGGACAGTCGGTTTTTCTGTGTTAAAACTTATCAACGGAGTGTCCCACTGGGTTTGGAATCGAGGACGTCTGCTGTTCGTGAGAACACTTTTTCCATACACAAACCAGAGATGAAAAAGAGACTCTGACCAGTTCCTGCGATTGGTAGTGGTGCCTACGAGTTCATCTGGACACACACTAAAGTAAACAAACGCATTGCTAGTGTTTTACTCGCGAACCGGTGCTTCTATCGATCTGATACAAACTGGCGATGTTTACTACAGGTCTGCATGCATTGAAGATAATTGTCTACAAGCACTCTGTTTCGCTCTCTTTTTCTCTGTTTGATACACGAGTGTGATGCATTAGCTCGTTGTCGAACCGTAAAATATCCACCTCCCCGTCCTCCCTTTCATTCCGAGTAATGCTATAAAATCTTGTCTGCACACACACACATACACACACACACACACACATATATATATATATATATAGGTCCCCTATTCGCCGATCAATAATGGCAAATAGGTATAAACTGTTTTTTATGTACTGCCTTGGTTCGAAAGCGCACAATGACTTCTGC